CAGGGGGCAGCACCCCATCCACCCAAGGGGGAGGCGAAGGTGCCACCCACCGCAGGTACCAGGCTCCCTTAGCTTCCGAGCCCTCCAGCCCACAGTCACAGGGCTGGTGCCCGCCAGAGCCCAGCACTGCCCGCCAGGCAGCCGCCCGCGTGAAAAGGAGGCAGCCAGGGGGCAGGTGCCGGCCAGGGCAGGGCAGTGTTTACCAGAGGGGCTTCCGTTATGCTGATGAGGCCGAAGACGGCCCAGGGGACAGGACCCTGGCTGTGGGCAGCCCGGAGGCACCCAGCACAGGAAGCGGGGCTGGGTGGGTGGGTCCCACCTCCAGAGAGCGGAGCGGCTACTTGCTATTACCAAAGACCGACACAAGGTGGCGCCATGGTCAAGGGCAGGACCACTGAGTCCCTGCAGGTGGGCAGCTCTGCAGACAGGACCCCACAGATCCCACGGGGTGCCTGCCTCCTGCCGGCCTCCCCCTCAGTCCTGGTCCAGAGCCTTCCCTGGGCCCTGTGGTTGGAGGAAGCACAGCTGAGACCAGAACCAGCCCCCAGCTCCTGCCAGGCCTTCGGTAAGCTGCCACCTGCCCCTCGAACACCCCGACACCAGCCTTCCTGAGAGCGCCATCCACACACAGGGCCGACAGCGTGTCCTCTCGGGTCAGAAGGGCCCAAAGCCAAGAGCAGCAACTCGGCGGGCGCGGATCTGCCCGCGCGGCAGGGCGAAGCATTCATTCACTCACATTCGTTTCCTCCACACTTTCCCTCAGGCCCCTGCTATGTGCCAGGCACGGTGCCGGGACCTAAAACTCAGGCTGCCTCCCTGGGCCCTCCCAGCAGCAGCCCTGCGTGGAGGGGCGGGCATGGCCCCATTCTACAGACGAGAAAACCGAGGCTCAGGAAGGAGGTGTCCACCGCCCCAGCGCACACAGCCGGGATGGGTCCACGCGGGGCAGGTGGCCACAGAGGTGGCTGTCACCTCCCACACAGCTGCCGCCCAAAGGGGCCTCGGGGGGGGGGGGCTGGTTTGCTCAGAATTGTGAGTCCATCCTCTGTTCTGGTGCCTGGGGAGAGGCAGGGCCACCGAGCCCCGATCCACAGGGACCTTGGGCCTTCCTCAGCCCCAGCTGCTACAATCCCCAGGTGCAGAGCGGCCGGGGCTTAACTGGGCAGTGGGCTGGGTCACACCATACCACACCTGTGAGCCGCCGTCTGGCTGAGCGGCCTCAGGCAGCTGCCTCACCTCTCTCGGCCTGAACGAGCCAATGCCAATCCCATCCTGTTGGGTGTGGGTGGGATGAAATGCCTGGCGTGGCCCCGGCTAGAAGTGAGGCTGCCCTACCCCCCCTAACCCACGGCACTGCCCACGGCGTGTGACCCAGGGCACTGGAGTGCGGAGGGAAGCCCCTCCCGGCGGGGCCCACCCTGGCCCAGCCTCACCTCTGGCAGGGCACGGCAGGCTGGCGTTCTCTCCTGCCACTCTCTCCAGCAGCCCGCCGGTCTCATCGGCTCCCCAGTGCGGTGGCTCTGGTGGGAGGTGATGGGGCCACACTCACTCCCCCGGCCCAAAGCTGGGTCCAGGGCCATTGGGGAGGGCACCCCCGCTCCAGAGCCCCAGCCCGACATAAGGGGGTGCAAGCCCTGTGCTGCAGCCCTCAGCCTCAGGGTGAGGGAGTCAGGGCCGTGGTGCTGGCTGGCCCCCCACAGGGTGGCCCACGGAGAAGCCACCAGGGCCCCGGGGGCTGGAGAGGCGGGGCTTCCCCTCCAGCTGCGCTTTCCAGGTTTGTTTAAATTCACAGCAGAGGGGATGCTAGCGCCACTAGCCCAGATCTTTCCATGCACCCGGTGCTTTGCACACATTCCCTCGCTGACCCCTCACATATTATCAAACCCATTTCACAGGTGAGAAAACTGAGGTCAGAGAGTGTAAATGACTGGCCTACAGTTGTCCAGCTGGTGAATGGAGGGGGCTAGACTGGGGCCCCGGCTCTGCTCATCAATCACTTCCCCAGTGGACAGAGTACCCACGGGGCTGACAAAGGCTCTACAACGGGCTTGGGGAGGGAGGAAGGCGGGGCTAAGCAGGCCCTGAGCCCAGAAGAGCAGGCAAGCATCTCGGAAGGCCAGGCTGCTGTTGGGAAGGTGGGGAGCGGTGAGATGTGGGGTTCAGGGACTCACCCAGCACCCTGAGCTCCAGCTCCCAGGCGTCTACCCCGGCGCTGTTGGCAGCCTCGCAGCGGTACATGCCGGCGTCAGAAGTTCGGATGGCTGCAAAATGGACGGAGCCCTCGGGCCCCCCGCCCCGCAGGGCCTCCCCATCCTTGGACCAGTTCAGCCTGGGCTCTGGGGTGCCCTCGGCCGCGCAGTTCAGGTCCACAGCTTCACCCGCCAGGACCTTCAGGACCCGCGGGCCTGGCTGCACCTGAGGGGGGACTGACAGGGACATGGGAGGGGTTCAAGGCGGGGGCCCTGGGGGGAGTCACAGAGGCCAGATCCATGGAGAGGACTCCCCCAACCCCCTTCCACCCTCCCTACCCCCCTTTCTTTTTTTTTTTTTAAATTGATTTTTTACAGAGAGGAAAGGAGAGAGATAGAGAGTTAGAAACATCGATGAGAGCGAAACATCGATCAGCTGCCTCCTGCACATCTCCCACTGGGGATGTGCCTGCAACCCAAGCACACGCCCTTGACCGGAATCGAACCCGGGACCCTTCAGTCCCCAGGCCGACGCTCTATCCACCGAGCCAAACCGGTTTCGGCCTACCCCCCTTTCAACGCTCCCCACTCCTCACTCCCCCAATCCCTACCCCTCCCCTCAGCCCCACCCCAAACCCAAGTGCACCCAACATCATTCGAAAACCAACAGCTGGGAAATACGGGGTGTCCCCCCAAAATGTATATACACTTAGCAGCAGATAGCTCAATTGATGCTTCTTTCTTTTCAGATCTAACCCACTGGAATGCATAATCAATCAAAGTGTGTATACCTTTTTGGGGGACACCCCACAATATAGTGCTGGATGGGAAACTGAGGCCGGGGCCAGAGGGACTGACTCTGGGTGGACGGCAAGGTTGGGAGGCAGCACACACAGAGGGGAAGGTTCAAATCCCAGCTCTGTCCTCGTAGCCACAGGACCCTGCACGGCTGGGCCGGAGCCTCCGTGCCCCTCCTCACAGCCGCCAGGGATCGAAACAGCTGCTCGGCCTGGCCTGTCCTGGCGGGGCCCTCCCTCGCTCATCTTCATCCTCCTGCCCTGAGCTCAGGAGGCTGCCGGTGCTCACCTCCTTCCCAGGAGTGTTCTTGGGGCGTCCCCCCTCCCTCTCCTGTGGGCCTTCCCAGGGGCAGGTAAGCTGCTCCCATTTGCATAGTCACCCACACCCTCAGCTGTGTGACCAGGAGCCCGGGAAGCCTCCGGGGGTTTGGCCCAGGGTCCGGGAAACACTTGGACTCCACGGGCCCCCCCGCTCTGGGTGCTGAGCCCCCCTGCTCTGAGTGCTGAGCCCCCCTGCTCTGGGTGCTGAGCCCCCCTGCTCTGAGTGCTGAGCCCCCCTGCTCTGGGTGCTGAGCCCCCCTGCTCTGAGTGCTGAGCCCCCCTGCTCTGGGTGCTGAGCCCCCCTGCTCTGGGTGCTGAGCCCCCCTGCTCTGGGTGCTGAGCAGACGCCTGGGACTGTGGTCTGGGCCCTGGGGGGAGGTCAGGAACACCCACTCCCTCCCAGCTTTGGAGGAAGAGCCGAGAAAGGACCGTTACATGGGAACCTGGCCCCTGGGCACAGATCAGCCCCTGGGCCCAGGACACCAGGGGGTACCTGCCCCGTCCACGCCACCCACACCTGCTGAAAACAGTTACAGCTTCCACTCTGCTGAGTGCCTGATGCCATCGATACCCCTTCTGACAACTACGGGATTTTACAGAGAAGAAAACTAAGGCTCAGAGAGGCCGAGCGGCGGCTCGAGGTCACACAGCGAGGGGGCGGCAGAGTCAGGATTTACCCAGCCCTGCTCCTCACCCTGCCCCCTGCTGCGTGCCCCTCTCGTGGGCCGGAAAACCTCGGCAAACCCTTGAGTCCCTTCTCTCTCTGAGCCTCAGCCTGCCCACCTGTGAAATGGGCAGTTAGCTTAGATCAGGGGGCGGCTTTTTCTGTTAAGGGCCAAACACTCAATATTTTAGGCTTTGCAGACCAGACGGTCTGTCTCAACTGCTCAGCTCTGCCGTTACAGCGAGAGCAGCCGCAGACCAGACGTAAAGGAACTGCAGGCTTCGCGCCAATAAAACGTGCTTCTATGGCCTGAAACTTGAATGTCATACAGTGTCCACACGTCACAGAACATCGCCCTTTCCCCACGCGTTTCCAAATGGAGACACCCTTCTCCGCCCGCCCCGTGGCCAGATGCAAACAGCAGGCGGGCTGGGCGTGGCCCGGGCGCGGCCCGAGGGCCTTGGCTGGCTGACCCCCCTGATTCCTGGGGGCTCTTGGAGATGACAAGCTCCCTGCCTCTTGGCGGAGTGACTCCACCGCCGGCTTCTGTGAAGGGGACCCAGCCCCCCGATGGGCTGGGACCAGAACCCTCTGTGGGTCCCTCCCCACGTCCCCACTGCTGGGCCCTGCCCCCTGCGCTCAGCAACCAAGGGTACAGAGAGGGGTGGAGGGGGACAGGAGGGGGTTGCGTGGGGTCCAGCAGAGGGGGTGGGCAGGGCTACAGGGGAGGGGGTGGGAGGGGTACAGGAGAGGGGGTGGGAGGGATAAAGGAGGGGTGGTGGTGAAAGGAGATGTGGCTTGAGATTGGCAGGAAGTAGGGGCGATGGGGAAGCCTGGAGGCCGCCCTGAGGAGGTGACAGAACTGGCACAGGGAGCTGGGGGAGGGGCACTGAGCAGGCCTGAGCAGTCAGGGCAGAACCATGGGTCTGACAGGAGCCACCAGCCCGGCCTACCTTGCACCCCGAGGACGTAGTGCCGAGCGGCGGACCCGGCGGGGTTACTGGCTCTGCACCGGTAGAGGCCGCTGTCACCCGCCTGCGCCTGGGCCAGACGCAGGGAGCCCGACGGGAGGAGGCGATGCCTGCAGGAGTGAGGGGCACCGGTGAGACCCCAGCCGACCTCAGGCCTCTGGACCCAACTCAAAGCAGCCACCGTCCCCAGGAAGCCTGCGAGGACGAGAGCAGTGCCAGCACCCACCCTCCCCGGCTCCCCCTGCTCCCCCTGCTCCCCCTGCCCCACCTCCACTTCCCTGAACTGCCAGCCAAGCCGGTGAAACAGAGAGCACTGAATTAGGAGGCTGCCAGCTTGGGTTCAAGTCCAAACTCTGAACCTTTCCCAGCTGGACGAAGGAAGTCCCTTTGCCTCTTGGAGCCTCCATTTCCTCATCTGTAGAATGGGCAGCTAAGAGGGACTGGGGCTGGGGAACCGACCCTGCACTGGCTCGACCCCGGGCCCGGCACCGGCACCAGCTCGCTGCTGGACCCCTGCTGACTCCTCTCCTCTAACGCACACACGTGCCACCCCTCGACCCTCCCCTGAGTGGGGGCGGGGTGGGGGATGAGGCTGCATTTGGAGGCCCTTCCCATGGCTTTGGGGGAGCATCTGCCAGCCGGGGGCCCCTGCGGTGAAGTGCCGGGTGCTCTGCAGCTTCTGCTGACCAGCACTGTGCTGGGCCTGAGGAGGAAGCTGTGAGGCCCCGTCTCTGCCCTCCCCCATCCCGCCCACCTTGCTGAGGTCACCTAGTCCCATCCCACAGGGGCCCTTGCAGACATGATGTCACCACCCACATGTGCTGGCTCCTCGCGGCCCCTGCCCCATAAGCAGAGAGGGCAGCTGTGGCCACCGGCCCCGGCTGGCCCCGAGTGCAAGTGGCCAGCAAGGGGGTGGGGACTCCACGGGCCAACGCCCCCGCCTGTGCTCACCAGGCTACAGCTGGGCTCTAGAGCCCGACGTTTCTGGTCCCCACTCCCCTTTCTCAGTTTTCTCCCCGGCAAAATGGGGGTGACGGTCATCCCGTCTCCCAGGCAGCTGCAGGCAAAGTGCTGGGCATGCGCTTCTCCAACAGGTCGCTGCTGCTGCTGCTGCTGCTGCTGCTGCTGCTGCTGCGGTTCACGCTGTATGGCCTGCTGGGCCCCTGCATCCCCATCTGTAAAGCGAGGCAACAGCCCCGTCCAGCCGCCCCCTCCTCCGGGGTGTCTGGGGCACCCAGCAGGCACTTGGGCAAGTCCTCCGAGGACGACTGTACATGATTCGGTGGGTGGTGGTCTCGAGATTCCCAGCACTGGCCCGGGCCACCCTGTCCTGCCATGGGCTTGAGGTTAAGCCCTGCCACAGAGAGGTTAAGGGTTGGGCAAGTCACTTAACCTCTCTGTGCCTCAGTTGTCTCATTTTGGAAAATAGAGGCAACAGTAGTGTTTGTATCCCACACAGAACTGTCCAGACAACGAATGACCTAATTCACAGCCCAGTGCCTGGAACAGACTAGGACGCCACAGAGGTCAGCTGTTACCATGGTGACAACAGTGCATCCATAAACAATCCACAGTGCAGTTTTGTACTGTTTAAAACACATAATGGCATCATGAGTATGTGCATAGGGCTAACCCATTCATTTTTCACTGTTATATAGTATTCCCTTGTGTGATCAGGCCACAGTTGCTTAATTTATTCCCGTTGGGTGGACGTTTAAACACTTAGATATTTTTCTTTCCTTCCTCTTTCCTTCCCTCCCGTCTTTCCTCCTCTTGCTCTTTCACCGCCAGAGCTCTCTGCACAGAGCTGTATGGTATGTCCTCCATGCACAGAGCCGTATGTTGTCCCCCACGCACAGAGCTGTATGGTGTCCCCCACGCACAGAGCTGTATGGTGTCCCCCACGCACAGAGCCGTATGGTATGTCCCCCACGCACAGAGCCCTATGGTATGTCCCCCACGCACAGAGCTGTATGGTGTCCCCCACGCACAGAGCTGTATGGTATGTCTCCCACGCACAGAGCTGTATGGTGTCTCCCACGCACAGAGCCGTCTGGTGTCCCCCACGCACAGAGCCGTCTGGTGTCCCCCACGCACAGAGCTGTATGGTGTCCCCCACGCACAGAGATGTATGGTGTCCCCCACGCACAGAGCTCTATGGTATGTCCCCCACGCACAGAGCTGTATGGTATGTCCCCCACGCACAGAGCTGTATGGTGTCCCCCACGCACAGAGCTGTATGGTGTCCCCCACGCACAGAGCTGTATGTTGTCTCCCACGCACAGAGCTCTATGGTGTCTCCCACGCACAGAGCTCTATGTTGTCTCCCCCCGCACACAGACGTATTGTATGTCCCCCACACACACAGATGTATTGGTGTCTCCCACACACAGAGACGTATGGTGTCCCCCACACACAGAGACATATGTGTCCCCCACGCACAGAGCCGTATGGTTGTCTCCACGCACAGAGCGGTCTGTTGTCCCCTCCCCCAGAGCTGTACGGGGGCTCCCCACCCCCAAAGCTGTATGGTGTCTCCCCCCCACCGTACCTCTATGGGGTCCCCCACCCCCA